ATATGATTACTACATAGTGTCAATATTAAAAAGAATAGTCAAATTACCTAAAATGCTGTCAGTCAGAGTGATATACATGTTTTTGAATTATGTAATATACCAACAAAGTTTTTGTAGAAACCGCTTGAACTTGGAAAACAGTTTCATAAAATTTCATGATGTGTTAACCGTGAGAAACGAAACATCCAAAAATTTCATATGACTCTGAAATGACCACTTGTAGCCCAAAATTATGGAACTAGTAATAAAAGAGCCATTAAAACATTTGAAAAGGAATTGAAATTGAACAAAAATGAACACGACAAAAACACATAGTGATTCAATAATGAACAAAGTAAAAAATAACGTAGACATAAAAACGTTACAGGGTGTTCACAAGTCTAAATATGGAGCAACATCCATACCACCCAAAACGACGCTTCTCTATTTCAATCTGGAAAGAACAATAACATTGTAGAAATTGAATATTTGAGCAATCGAGAAATCATAAATTTCGTTTGGTTAAACTCAGTCGGGTCTGTGAATGTTAAACCATACTAAGACTTTTCGGTCACCCCGGAAATTACTTTGATAAAAATTATGCAGCTGGTTTCATCCACGACAGCTTGATAATTTCTCCATGAATGAATATCTGGTTAGTCTCTATGAAAATGAGAAAATATATAAATAAGATGGAAACTGAAATCATGATTCATGTGTATTACCGATCTGGAAAAAAGGAGTTTTCATTATTATATTATGTTTCTTAATCTTCAAAAGTACCTATCCAAAGAACGCACATAGTGTGAAAAAAGTTGAAATGCAAATTGTAGCTGTATTCAGCTTTGTCAGAACATATAATTTGGTGTCTGTAATTCAAGTTTATTCTCGAGTGTTCAAGTGATACATTATTGATGAGGTTAAGAATAAGGAAGGATGGTTTTCAACGAATCATCAGGCATTTTCGGAAACACTCCAACCAACCGGATCCAACAAGAACAAGTGACGAATCATGTACATACATTACTTACTCGGGTTACTACACAGTATTCATGCAAACTCTTTGAAATCTTCAATTTTATTTTACGTTGTTCCAACATGAATATGTAATGCTCAAACAAACTATCTATTGTATACCGGGTGACACAGGCTATCGGGCCACCCCTGTAACTTTTGCATTCGTCAACGGATTTTTCTGAAATTCGGTACAGTTATATGAGCAACTATTGCGGATTTGATCACGTCACAATCCAATATGTCGGACTTCCGGTTTTTCTGGAAATGCCAGCAATTTTGTTTTTTCAAATGGAACACCCTGTATATTTTTACATATTCAAGTTCAACAGGTCATAACAAGTGCAATCTTGATGTCAAATGTCATTCATTCCACAGCCTACCTAGTTGAAAAATGATTCTTACTGCAAGGAAATTCATGACTAGTTGTTGATTTTTGAATGTATACAATTTGTTACTGCACCGAAAAACAAAAATGGTATTTCATTTTGTTCCTTAATGTATGTTCTAGAGAAACGGGTAGGTGGCCCATAGGGGTTCCATTTGAAAAAAAATATTTTTTGATCAAAATGTGATGTGGCTGAATTGATTCCTGGATAAGTGACACAAAAAATAATTTTTCAGAAAAAATTATGTTCTTCTGTTATGTGTGACTCATTATGAATAGTCTTGACCACATCTCATTCATCCACGAGGTAAAATGAAAAAACAATTTTAATTTAATTTTTTTCGAAAAAATGACATTTGAAATAAAGATTGCACTTGTTTCGACCTGTTGAACTTGAATATGTGAAAATATACAGGGTGTTTCATTTGAAAAAACAAAGTTGCTCGCATTTCCAGAAATACCGGAAGTCCGCCATATTGGAATGTAATGTGATCAAATCCGAAATAATTGCTTATATAACTGTACCGAATTTCAGAAAAATCTGATGACGAAAGCAGAAGTTACAGGGGTGGCCCGATACCCTGTGTCACCCGGTATAGTGTACCGCTTCGCTCACAGAGGAACAGTTGAAATAACTTTCTTAAAATTCAAACTTGTTTATTAATGGTATTCGAATGACACCATGAAAGACATTTTGCTTCCAAATTGAATGCAATTGGATGTTTCATAGCGTACTGAAGCTAGAATCATATGCGGCTACTATTAGTGATATCTTCAATTACTCAATTAGAGATAGTTTACCCAAATATCTGCCTCAATATCACAGAAAAGAATTACAAGCTGCTGTTTTTCACATCGATAAGGCACCCGTATTGGTTATTAAGAACCGCCGCAGAAAGAAGAGACGGAGAATAGATACCTTGCGCAATGATACTGGATGAATGTAAAGAGTGCCAATATGCAACACAATCATCAAAACAATGTCAAATTCCATCAATTCTTCGAGGATAACTACATCAAGTATCGTCCTCAAACCGTCTCATACCATGAACAGTGCCTCTTCTTTCTCTTCTTCTTTCAGTTTATTGGATTGCCGTCTCCATTCGAGAACAATTTCTGCAGGCCAGGTATTTTTCTTTCAACAATTACGAGGACACTGCATGTTCATCACCAAGACCTGAAGCAGAGTCCGTCATTACTCACTCCGATTGTACTAAGTTCATTCGACAAATCCGTTGTCATCTGGCCTGGGTACCAGCGTAGAGATGAAGGAGCAAGATTGATTTTCTGTATGACCCCCTCATTCGATAAATCCGTTATCATCAGGCCTGGTTTCCAGCGTAGACATAAAGGGGCCTGATGTTTTTCACACACATTCATCGAACTTCACATATAATTTTTTTTTTTTTTCATCTCCGGTATTTAGGAATATTTTGGACTCACACACACATTCACTTGACCTCCGACCACGATGAAGCCGTTTTTCCTCCACCACGGTCGGAAAGCGAATCCTCATTAACAGTGTCAAATTGTTTAATTATTAGTTTCAGTCTAGCCGATTTCACGAGGTTAGAAAAGATCAACTTTCCTAGATGAAGTAGGCAATACCTAAGTTTCCGATAAACAAGTTGTTTAGTGACCAAATCAATTTCAACTTTTTTTAACTCTGTTTTTATCAATGAAGATATTGTTAATGATCTGAAATTTCCTAATATAAGAAATCATAATGCTCCCTTTTTGAACTAAATTTTATTCGTGTTGTTGAAGTTAAAGATAGATAGAAGATAGATTTTATTGGGCATGAAATCAAATGCTACTAGTTTTGACGGTATAACTATCACCATGCTGAAATATTGTAGCCCAAAAATTGATGCTTTTCTTGCACATATATTCAACTATTATATGAAAAAAAAAATATTTTCCAGAATTGTGAAAAATTGCTATAGTCAAACCTCTAGGTAAATTCAATAACCCCAAAGAATTCTCAGATTTTAGGCCAATCAGCACCTTATCTGCAATTCTAGAAAAAGTGTGTGCTAAATTGTTCTGTATTTTAACTGTAACAATATCATTCTTGATTGCCAAGCTGGATTTCGGGCTGGCTACAATACATCAGTTCTAGTACAAGTCACAGATGGCATCACGAATAATAAAGACTCGACAGCATTAATTACACCATAAAAGGAGTAATTTTTTGAACAAATTGATGATAATGAAGGCTCACTTCAGAGTTCATATCATGCCGAAAACCGCAAGTATATCGTTCAATTGCTTCAGAATATGCAGGGTATCAAGACAAGAGAGCCAAACTATCAGTGGTCCGCTTCACGTATCGAAAACAGCACACCATAACTGGAACCCTTTCACATAGTGAACGGCGTCAAATTGTATATGAAGCACTTGTTGCACACTCTAACAGGTATCTTGTGCCCGAACTTGGGCAGCGGCACGTTTTACCACCGTGAAGTTGGCGTCGCAGCTCATGCGCCTTTTGTAGCATTGACACGAAGAGACGTGTCAACATTCTTTTCACCTTGATACGGCCCAACGCATTGTATCGTCATTTATGAACCACCGCACAAAGAAGAGGTAGAGAATGGAAGCTTGACTTGCACAATGATACTGTACCGATCTAAAGAGTGCCATTAGTTACAAGATAATAAAAAAATCACATTCCATCACATTTCGGGGCAAGTTCATCAGAATTCGACCTCAAATCGTCTCACAACTTAAACAGTGTCAAATTGCATAAGAAACAGTTGTTACACATTCTAGCCGATTTCGCGAAGCAAGTACCGATTTCGATTTATCCAGCATTTCAGTGAGGTTATCAAAAATACAAATTCCAAAATGAAGTTAACAATACTGAATTTTCCATAAACAAAATGTTCAGTGATCGAATCAATCCAAGTAATTTTCCGGAAATGCCTGACGTTCGTAATTTTTCAATCTTAACCTCAAATCAGTGTCAGTTAGTGTTCAGTGATAAAAACATTGCAATTTTCGTAGCATCCACACCAAGCGAAATATCAAGAAGAAATCGACCACCCTAGTCAACATATCGACATTTTTCACATTGAAAGGCACCATAACTTGGCGATTAGGAACCATCGCACCAAACAGAAAAGGAGAATAGACACTCGACTTGCGTAATGATGCCGGATCAATGTAAGAAGCGCCAATATTCAAGGAATTTCCTTACTCTATCGAATCTTCGGGGATAAGTACAGTTCCCAACTAATGATACGAACTTCTCATAATTTGACCCTTGCCTGATAGCCAGTATTTTGTTTAAAGAATTGAATGATTCAATTGCGAGTTTTTACATTGACTGATTTTTGATGAGGCAGCATCGAAAATAGGTCCACTTCAAATCTTGTGTATGTCTCTACACGACAACCTCCATGTGTATTGAAATTATACTTACGAGTTTTTTAAATCAACCTGAGTGAATTTTTTTGATACACATATTAGGCTCACTTCAGAGTTCATATCATGCCGAAAACCTCAAGTATATCGTTCAATTCCTTTAGAATAAGCAGGGTATCAAGACAAGAGAGCCAAACTAGGAATGTTTCGCTTCACGTATCGAAAACAGCTCACCATAACTCGAACCCTTTCACATAGTGAACGGCGTCAAATTGTATATGAAACACTTGTTGCACACTCTAACAGGTTTCGCGTGCCCGAACTTGGGCAGCGGCACGCTATTGGACGAGCAGCGCGCGCAGAACACTTTTCCGCAGTTGCGGCAGTGGTGGCGCCGCTTGACCACCGTGAAGTTGGCGCCGCAGCTCATGCACTTGGGCGCCTCCACGTCGGGGATCCAGATGGGAGGTCGGGAGTAGTCGGGGGTCTCGTAGGGGTCGGCGGCCGGCGTTTCGGTTTGCGCCACGTAGGTGGATTGCAGGTTGGCGATGTCCTCGCGCAAGGACGCGTACCTTGATTCATTTATTTATTTATTATTAATTATTTGACCAACAGAAAACAACGGGTAAGAGTGAAAGATATATTCTCTTGTGAAATAGAAAATGATGTTGGAGTTCTCCAGGGTAGTGTTCTGGGTCCCCTTCTATTCATACTATATTTAAATGACATGCCATTGTTTGTTGCATGTGAATTCATGAACTTTTTTGCGGATGATACACTATACACTATTGGCATGCAGTGATGAGAACCTGGAATCGGATATACACAAAATGAATACTACTTTAGCAAGTGGCAACAAGTACTTGAAAATGATTCAACTCAAGTTGAATGTATTGAAAACAAAGGAGATGATAATCACCACCAAATATAAATACAGTCAAATAAACTCAAAAAATATCAACCTAAACATTGATGATGAAAGAATTGAAGTAGTTAAAACAACTAAATATCTGGGATTTCAGGTAGATAACACTTTATCGTTTGATGAACAATTTGAGTATATTCATAAGAAAATTTCGAAGAAATTATTCTTTTTCTCCAGAATTTCCAATAATCTCTCAACAGAGTCAAGAATCATACAAGTCAATTGTTCAGCCACACTTTGACTACTGTTCATCTATCCTATATCTATTCAATCAGAATAAATTGTCTCAACTACAATAACTTCAGAATCGTAGTATGAGGATCATTTTGAAGTGCGGTAGAGATACTCCAATTACTATTATGCTTGATGTTTTGAATTGGCAATCTGTTTCTCAAAGACTGTTTTATTTCACAATGATAATTATATATAAAATATTGAACAATTTAGGACCATCTTATTTCAAACAGTAGATTGTCTTCCATCATGACATTCACCAACACTTCACTCGAAATAATAATAATTTATATATAAATAGAACAAATCACAAAAGCACTATGATCTCTTTATGTTTCAAGGGTTTTTAATGTTTTGATCAATTCAACAGATCACCAAATGCAATTAAAAATAGCCCATCTTTGAACATTTTCAAAAACGAACTGGGGAAATTTCTGTCTAATGTACATATATGATATTTATTATGTTTGTTAAGTGGAGCTACAATTTTTGTTTTGAGATATTATTATGCTTGTGTTCAACTAACTTTATTTTATTTTATTTTTATAGGTTACAGGCTACTCAACAGGTCGAATGACCCAATTACAGAGAAGCACAAAATATACTAATCATCAGTTAACAATCGAAGGTTATGAAAAGTTAAAGTTTATATAAGTGAGATTGAACTACAGTGGAATATAAAGAACAGAAAAATAGGAAAAGGTGAATTTCAGTTAGCTATTTGAAGAGGAGTCGTTACAATTGAGGTTACAATACCTGATTATGTGAAAAGAAGTCAAGAGTGAATAATTTGCCTCAGTTTGGTTTTAAACCTGAATATTTTCGTGGTGAAAATATCTACAAGAGAATTGTTTCCTATCACATTATAAGAATTTATGCACCTATGTAAGGGAGAATTCAGTAAAAAGTTAGTAGAGCTAGGTCCAGTTGTGAAGAGATGTCTGTTTCACACGGCATATGGAGTACAGTTCAAAGTGAGAGAATTGGTGCAAAATTCAGAATCAATTAGATTGTTGACCACTTTGTAAATGAAAAGAATGTCGAAAAATGTTCTCCTTAGTTGAAGGTTTTCAATTTTGTAGTGTTTAACATTAGCATTGTATGAGGAGAAAATTTTTCCATGGTCGAAACGAAAATTCAGGTGTCAGACAAATTTCCTCTGAACATTTTCAATTCTATTGGAGTGATTATTATAAAAGGGATTCCAGATGACAGATGCATACTCCAGGGAGGATCTCACAAGGGAGTTGTACAACGATTTAACAGCATCTGGGTCTCGGAAGGATTTTGTCGCCCTCATAATAAACCCAAGATTTCTTAGACTTTTCTGCACCATCAATTCGACGTGTGTGTCAAAGGTTAATTCAGTATCTAGGTGAACACCTAAGTCTTTGATGACATCACAATCTCCCAGAACCTCACCGCACAGTACGAGATTGGAGGTGGGAGGATGATTATTACGGGTAAACAGGATCTTGTGACATTTACCAACGTTCATTATAATGTATTCATCCAATGTTTGTCATATATTTTAAATCATTTTAATATGTACCACATACCTATTTTACTTCATACTTTCTAGCTTGTTTGTATACCAGGATCTCCTATTTCAATAAAGATCTATCTATAATAAACGGATTCACCTTCACAATATCATTGTTCATTCATTTTGGTCAATATCAACGGTTCAAAAAAAGGTAGATGATGAATAATTTTCGTTGAATTATTGATAAATTTATCCTCTTTTGAAATATATAAAAATTAATATACCATTACATTTGTTTTTTTCAACTCAAACATTTGCTATCATTTCAGTTAACGCCATCTAGCGGCAACAGCAAAAGTCAAAAATTCAAAATCAAATAATTGTATTGTAGGGCAAATTATGTTCTTTCATATGAACCTAAGTTTGTTAAAATCGGTCGAAATAAACGGGAGAAATCTTGGTTTGTTTAAAAATACAAATGAACTCCGCCCCACCGCTTTATTTTGATACATAGAACAAAACGTTTCAGACAAAAAATGTTGGGAAATGGTCAGTCATTAAGAAAAATGATATCATCGATGTACTTTCATCAAAGAAAATTCTATAAAAATCCCATTTTTCTACTTGGTGTTGGTTGTTACGCCTTCTAGCGGACGTTTGACAAAGTCGAAAATAATTTCCAGCAATTTGTCATGGCGACTTTTATCATGATTTTTTTTCTCAAATCTATACGACCAATATCTTATGAGATATGACCGCTCGCTACCCTTAACTGATCACCCTGTACTTTGGTGAATAAAGATGTATTATTATTATTACTATCTACAATCACAATCATTTGCCAGAATAATTCAAAAGAACTGGCTGCATAAAAAAATTCAGAAAGGTTGAAAAATTCCTCATCCAAAAAGCGTACTATGACCTGCAGGAATATTACAACGAAAAGTTTTGAAGTCATGTATAATATATTTCTTGATTTTTTACCTACCTAGTTGACGTTGTATGTGATATAAATGTTATGCTTTTAGGGCTTTTTTGTTGTTGTGTTATACCCTTGTATTTGTGTTATTTATTACCTATATTTTATGTTCATATCTTTTATATCTTTGTACAAATAATTGGACATAGTGGATCTATCCACTTGCTAGTTTCACGCTTTGTCAATAGGAAGAATGTTTCTTGGACAATGAAGCTCAGTTTTGATTTGATTTGATATTATTATATACCTGTTGAGCTCCGTCGATAGATTGCTGATACTGTCTCCGTCCTCCTGCGCCTGTCGCGGATGGTTCGAATACCCCTCCCGGCACTCCTCCCCGTCCAAATGGAAATAAACATTCGTATCGAACACCGCCTCCTGCGCCAAAATGTTCGGATCCACCGAGAACTCATCGTTCTCGATGACGTCACCAGCGGCCGGATGGAACTCGATCGAGGTGCTCAAGCTCTCGATGACGTCGTGCGGGAACTCGATCGAGTTGGCCGTGTCCAAGGACTTGGCGGCGAGGTCGGAGGTGGCGTTGATGAGGAAGACCGATTTTAGGATGTTGCGCAGGTCGCAGGCGAAGTTCGTCTGGAGTTGGTCGGCGACGCCGGCTATGCAGACGAACAGGCGGTGCAGCAGGTCTTCGCCGGATCTGGAACGTACCCTCCGAGTAAGTAGTTGAAAAGAGTGATATAAATAAATAAATGATAAATATTTATTTATTTATCAAACATATCTTCCAGTCAGACCAAGTTCTGGTATGAGGAAGAACATAATTATAAAATAATAAGTAAGAAATATCTGTGAACTACTACACAAACATGAGTGAAAGTGAACATGAATAATAAATCATAATATATCAGGATATCACAATAAATCACAACAAAACAAAACAATCAATGAACAAACAAAAGCATTCTAGTCAAGGACATAACTTACTGATAAATTTTAAACATTTCTCTCAGAAATGATCAGTTTTTTATTTTCTTGTTAGATGTACCTATATTACTGCAGTTTTTAATTTCATCTGGTAGTTTATTGAACTCAGATAAGGCTGCATGAGTGAATCTTTTTTGTCCGAGTGTAGAACTAGCAGCATCAAGGTGAGATAAGTTATATTGTCTAGTTTGATGACTATGAATAATTTCAAAATTTCTTGTCAAAATGATATTAGATTTAGATTTTTTATTTATGATATTATATGAAATTTTCAGATTCTCTAATTTATACAGTTCTTCTAGAGAATCTGTTTTCGTTAAGGCATACAGTTCAGTTGTTGGTGTATCATATGGAAGACGATACAGTACTTTTAATGATTTCCTATATAATGTTGATATTTTATTGAAATTATTTTTAGAATAAGACGATACAGTACTTAAATTGTTAATTCGACTTAGAATATGTGAATAGAGTACTATATTTGCAATTTTCATACTGAGTTTGAGACATCTTCTCAATGCACCAATAATAGGAGATAGTTTCTTTGTCAGAACCTCAATATGTTTGTCCCACTTAAATTTTTCCTCAAACCAAATACCTAAATACCTCATCTGTTCAGTTTGTTTGAAGAATTCATTCTTTATTTGAAGATTAAGCTGAATTTTCTTTTAATTTTTTTGTTGAAAAATCATGTATTCAGTTTTCTGGTATTTATTGATAAAAGGTTAGAGTGGAGCCATTTTACAAATAATTTCAGATCGTTATTTATCACAGTTTCTGAAATTAGAGGATTTTTGTTTTCATATAAAAGCACTGTATCGTCTGCATATATGGTATAATTACTCGCTAAACCAACTTTCGTGTTATTTGGAATATAAAGCAGATACAGTATTAGTCCTAAAACAGATCCTTGTGGAACACCCTTATTCATTGACAGTTCATGAGACTCAGAATTAGCAGATTTTGTACTGATTGTCCTATTTTCAAGATATGAAGCTAAAATATTCCTCACAATGCCTCTGAGTCCCATGGATTCCAAGTAATCCAGAAGTATTGCGTGGTCCACTGTATCACCAGCCTTTTTTAGATCAATGAAAACAGCTACTATGTAATTTCCTTTATCAATTCCTTTTTGAATTGCTTCTATCACATGTAATACTGCCGCTTGAGTGCCACTATTTTCATGAAAACCCAACTGATTTATATCGAAGCTATATTTTATGTTGATGAAATTCACAATTCGTTTCTTTATATTTTCTCCAGTATTCGAAAAATGATTGTTCATTATTTTTGCTATCTCCAGATCATCTTTGCAAATTTTACCACCAATTTTGGTCGATTCAATATAATTTTTTCTGTATGATTTTGTCGTGCCTTTTAGAATATAATTTATCGTACCTATCCCATAGTTTTTTTTTTGGATTGCCCTTAGAGTTATCGACGAATTTCCTATTGATATGCTGAGCCTTCGCTCTTTTTATCAAAGCAATTTCATGTTTTCATCTGCAGAAAAAGCATGACATTCCAAGGATCTCTGTGAAACAGCTGTCGAATCGATTATTCAAGAAGATTTTTCGGATAAAACATCTTTTACCCACAACCACTATAAAAAATGGACAAGAATACACGGAATATAGCCTCAGTAAGCTCATTGCGCACGGTAAGCAAATCGCACCTATACCTATACCTATAGCTACTATTTCATATTCAAACCTATTTTCATTCTTTCAGTATCTCTTGTATTTTATGTTGTTTTATGTGGATTATGGAATAACTATCGACCAACATCTTAGATGGAACAAACACATACAAAATATTGTGAATACTTTGAGAACTATGCTATATAGATTCAAATTTATACAGAATATAGTTGGCACACATCATATGAAAATCTTATATTATGCATTAATAGAATCCAGAATTCAATATGGAATTTTAGGTTGGGGGGGAGCTCTGGATATTTATATGAATAAATTAAAAATTCTCCAGAAATACTTTTTGAAAATTATATTTAGGAAAGAACGCACTTATCCAACGGACATTCTTTATAGCAAGGCCAGAATACTCGATATTAAACAGATATTTTATTACCACATTTTAATTCATCTATTCAAAAACAAACACATTCTTCATATGATAGATCACAACTATCAAACAAGACAAAAAACGAAACAATATGTAAAAACGGAAACATCAAAAAAATATGTTGGACAACGAAATCCCCACTATCTTGCTACAAGAATCTACAATCAGGAGCAAAAGAGCAAAAGAAACTCATTTAGAACCATCAATTCCGCACCTTTATTCAAAAAATATTTGAGAAAATATATTTTAGATACAGAAAGAAGCTTTATTCATATGGTCATCAACCAAAGATGAACTGTACTTCAATTCTAACTGGAACTGTGAAACTGTATAGGTACATGAGTAAATAAAATGAAAGAATCACCCACGTACAACCCTGAGTTCCTGTGGGACATTCTTCCGTTTGTTTGCTGATGTTTATATCCTGTTTATGCATATATATATATATATATATATATATATATATATATATATATGTCATTTATTTTTCCACTAAAATGCTTAGATTATTTTATAAAAATTGTGATATTCTTCCTAGTTCCATAGCACATGAAATTTATCAATAATGTTAGACACATTATTTTATTATTTATATTCAGTCCCATATATGTGTATTGTAATCCTTCTCTTCTTAACTTGCAAATAAACTTATTATTATTATTATATGTATTAAAAATTTCATTCCAATTGGTCAAGCAGTCTAAGTTGACATATTTAAAAAACTCGTTCACCATATTGGATCCGCCATCTCGAATTTTCTAATTTTGACGAAGAAATCATAATATTTGATCTTGAGAACCCTTAGATACCAATTTTGAATAAATTCGAATCATAATCACAAAATTCGCCATACTGGATTCGCCATCTTGAATATCTACCGTCACCTGGTTCTAAGCTAGGTACCTCCAAATCAATTTTTCAGCCAAATTGATCGCCTCAGTAAGAAGCTCATTGCGCACGGTAAGCAAATCGCACCTATACCTGTACCTATAGCTACTCTTTTATACTTACACCTGATTTTATTCTCTCAGTATCTCTTGTATTTTATGTTGTTTCATGTATTAAAAATTTCAATCCAATTGGTCGAGCAGTTCAATAGTTGAAATATTTAAAAAACTCGTTCACCATATTGGATCCGCCATCTCGAATTTCTTAATTTTGAAGAAGAAATCATAATCATTGGCCCCAAAAACTCTGAGATACCAATTTTGACTAAAATCGGACCATAATTACAAAACTCGTCCGCCATATTGGACTCGCCATCTTGAATTTTTCAATTTTCCTTAATTATATGCTAATATTCAAGGGGCCGATTCTTCGAACTATTTCAAGAATAAAACTTCATATGAACGTATGTCGTAAACGTCCTAACTTTTGAGATACAGGGTATCAATGTTGAAAATATGCATAATTATTTTTTGTCCATCCAGAATTCAACTTTGACACTCTGTATCTCAGAATCGGATAACTTTCGGACATATGTTTATACGAACTTTTCTTCTTATTTTGACGTCAGCAACATGCTCCTGAATTTTCTACACGTACTCAAGAAACACCCTGTATATCCGGGAAAAAGTACTCACTTTTTTCTCACGGGAAAAATAGTAATTTTCCTAACAAGTGCGAAAAGTGATTCTTTCCCGCACGCGACCGCCGTTGACACGAGCGACGCGAAGCGGAGTTCGGGCAAGCAGTCGAGTCCGGGAAAGATACTTTCCGCATGAGTTAGGAACAATATTTTTTCTACAAGCGTAGGGAATTGATTGATTTTTTCAATTAATTATCTATGCAAATAGGAACAACTAATAAATAAGAGAAATATATTCTCTATCTACTAATTATTAAGTAATATCTATTGTGAACTTACAGTTTGACGCATTATGAAGGTTCATTGCGGAAGCCAGCAGGCCCATAACGTGTTTGGTCTCTAGGTTTCAGACACTTCTAGGAAATGAGCCAAAAATACTTATTCTTCATGCGGTATTTTCATTTCTTTAATGTTGCTCCATTCAATAAAACGCGTGCAGTATAGCTTCTCATACCTTTCGAGCCAAAAATACTTATTCTTCATTCGGTATTTTCATTTCTTTATTGTTGCACCATTCAATAAAACGCGTGCAGTATAGCTTCTCATACCTTTCTTAAGACTTCGTTGGCAATAACGGATCTGTATCGAATCCCTATAGCTACAAGTTTTTGATCACATTACGGCAATTTCACTGAATCAAAAATGACAGTAACGCTATGTCTGTCACATCGACAATTACAAACTAATTTGAGGTTTGATTGGCATGACAACAATAATCGTTTTCCATCAGATCAATCCAAATCTAAAGGGTTTTTTTTTTAATAATCAATTTTTATTTTTCAATATTTCTTAATTTTCACAATAAATAGTGTAATTTGATGGATGATTCTGAACATACATGCTTAATACTTCCACAAACAAACTTAAACTTTTATATTCCATCACCAACCACTTATATTTAGTGATATATATCATATCTTTGTTTTTCCCGCACTAGTGTGGGAAAAATTTTCCCGTACTGTTGCGGGAAAATTACACTTCCCAAACTAAATCCCGTGCGGGTATTGGGTGAATCACGCACGCTTGTAGAAAAAGTAATTTAAGAAAAGTGGCATTCTATAACCTGCCAACAGAGATGAAATGCAAAACTTTTTTCCCGTCACAGAAAAAAAGGAAATAACTTACGTATACTTGGCTCTGACATCGTTCCGGTTCACCAGCTCGGCAGCCCGCATCGCCATCGCGATCTCTTCGTCATCGGCGCAGTTGCTGTGAAACGACGAAGTCTCCGAGCTGCTCGAACTCCCCTCCCCCTCCTCCTCCTCATCCTCCTCTTTCCTCCTCTCGGGACACCCCTTCCCTTCCTCGTCGTTTCGCCTCGAAGAAAACGCATTTTCGGTTTTTCCGGGAACGAAGGGGGTGGCGCTGGCGGCAAAACCTGACCGCCGCTGCGCTGCCTTCCTCAAGGTCAGGCCGGGCGGCGCGTGGGGTTTCTTCGACGCGCAGCCGCAGCTGGAAGGTTCGTCAAGGCTGGGCGAGCGATCGAGGCTCGTCGTTTCCGTGCAGATGCCGGAATCGTCGGGCGATTCGGGTTCGCCGGTCTTGATAATAATAGTTTATTGCAAATACGTTAATAGTTATTTATACACCAAGGTAGTGAAGCATATCATTATTTCACTGTTACCATTATATCCCGAGGCTATAAGGTCCCGTGATAAGAATATTCTTCACAACCAAGGTGTATATTCAATTTTATTTCACCAATAGCGATATATCAATCATTTTGTGGAACAGAAATATGGATCTATTATGAGGGGTAGACAACTCCAGCAAAATGTGTACACCATAATCAATATTTATTTAATCAACTGTACTAAACCTATAATATAATCAAATGTAATCGAATACTCTAAATTGAATGAACAACATCTCAAATGTAATCAAAATGCCTCAAAAAGTCTCAAATGCCTCAAAATGTTTCAAAGAGTACTCAACATATTCAAATACTCAAGAGTCTCAAGAAGTCTGAAAGTTACTCAAATTTAATCAACAGATACTCACGTGTACACCAGTCGCAACGAGTTGTCTACCCCTCGACCTATTGTCACTATGAAAGCACTTCTTTTCAATTCTAGTTAAAATCTAGTAGCCATGACCACATGACAGTTAATTCGGGGTGGCTATGTCTTAATTGCTTAGTAGTTCATAAAATGACGAAAACTACCTTGGTAGTAAAAACACAGTTTACGCCTTGAAAATAAGTAAATAATAGTAGGTTAAATAGCTAGTGGCGAAAAAAAAAATGGATATTTGGCTTGAAATGGACCTTGCTCACTTGCTCAACCCTATTCGAGAACCTCTTTTCCTCGCTCTTTTCACATAGATACATAACTACAAATTCCATTTGAAACTGAATGTTATAGCTATGGTTATAGTGATGATGATACTGATTCTATTTGAAATTCAGAGAATTTATTTTTTGAATCGTACTGTTTCCGTATTTCGGATCGCAATTAGAATATTATGGCGTTTTGGAGGCATTTTGAGTAAGCCAACGAAGATAATAATAGTGATATGGAACTATACTCTGAACAAGATCAAATAAAAATGGTGACTTTGAACATGCATTCATGTGCCAAGTACTAGAATTATGGTTCTTCAAAAACCCAACTTGTGAAGAGAATTCAGAAATTGACTGAAATCGGCTGTGCTACAATTTCAAGAGTCAGGTTAGGAAAGTCAAGTATATCTGTAAAATGAAGGAATACCGTGATGCGAATCGATATATTTCATCTGGAGAAAACATGTTTCGACACCCATGACGTTGTTTAATAAGGGATGACAACAAACAAGTATTTGAGTGGCAAAATAATTATGATCTTCCACGCCGCCTATGAAAATGAATTGTTGTCGCGTTTTCGGCCATGGCGTGGCGGTAACTGCGAAGCCTAGCGCAGCCTTCCTCAAGGTCAGACCGGGCGGCACGTGGGGTTTCCTCGACGCGCAGCCGCAGCTGGAAGTTTCGTCGAGGCTGAGCGATCGGTTGAGGATAGTTGTTTCCGTGCAACACCAGAGTCGTCGGGCGATTCGGGTTCGCCGGTCTTGATATGGTAAGAATTAGTATACTAGACTGGCCAGTAGTGACAGATTTTTTGTAACGTTTTTTTAATGTATGAAACTTTCAAGTAATGATTTTCATGGGTGTTCAACATGTCTTAGACAATTATCAATGTTTGCTCGCATGCAGCGGCGTCACCAATCAAATAAGAATTTGCGTTCAAAATTCATGATTTCAAACGATTAGTAAATGCATTCAAATTGGTTCTTGTTCAAATTTGATCAAAGATAATGTACATCGGAACAAATTTGCATACTCTGCCCTCGTGGAGGAAAACCCAAAATTCACCTGCAAATGAAAAAATAACGGCCAATTACCACTCTTAGATGTTCTTTAAATCGAAAACAACTTAGAATTTTTAGAAACGAAGGTACCGGTAGAAGTAGGGACCGTTTGCACGTCAGCAACTAGTCTCTAATGGGACCTGTTTGCAAGCCCCAATGTGTAATGAGTGATGTGGTTTGCTCAAGAGCTGGCCAATACCCTTTTCAGGTACCCTCCATCAGCTCTCTTTCAGAGTTTTCCGGTTGTGTTTTTAGGCTAGTAATGTACTCACTACCATATGCTGCAGTGGCAGGCCTGCCAGCTACCTCGGTAAGCCCCATTAGAACCCCTCTAAGTAGCATTGGCCCGCTCTCACGCTCTGCTGGTAGTTTCCCACAGCTACCAACAACATCGTCCTACTTCTTCTCTTATGCTCACAACCAAATTATCGTAATTTCTTCCTATGTGTTCTGTGTAGGCTTTGTTACTCACTTCATGCGCGACTTTAGGATGTGCACTGTTACTTGGATCGCTACAGTGAGTCGTGCAGGACTATCCTCTGCCGATGCTCCGAAACTTTACAATATTCAATTGGTAAATCAAATGTTGGAAAAATTCCTTGCCCTGGATGGAGATTCGAAACCATGACCTAGCGGTCATGAGTCGGGCGCTCTTCCACTGTATCAATCAAGTTCCAACTAACACACTAAGATACATAACTAACTCAAATAACTCTTTTCAACACAAAATGGCGAGTTTAAAATTTCTCGTATTTAGATTAGTCATTTCATTTGAACAAAGAAAGGTATGTTGAAAGAACTGGTCTTCATGAAGTGGCTGGTCGTATTGGTCATGATATCTCAAATAGATAGAAACAATTCGAGAAGAATCACAATCCCAACAGGACTTGATGAAATTTCCAGAGACTTGGGTTTTGGAATGTATATTTATGTCAGTCTGGGACAAAACTAGGCAATTTATTTGGGAAGCCAAAAGAAAAAGTAGAAAATCAAAATCAGGAATTCACAAAATTGGTTATAACAACATAAGTGTAGCACCTTTGAACCCTGTTTTATTAGCAATAATTTATCAAGCAAACTTGGCTCAAATCAATAGATTTAGATTTCAAGGAGCACTGTGTCTTGATTTTTCAATTTGGAGTTGCAGGCAGCTAAATTAGTGAATCTTCAACAATGAACTTTTATGGCAATATAGTCAATATAGTTATTCAAATCAGAATAGGACTTTTGGAATCTTTTATCTGATAAATGTAGCCAAGGTAATGGTATTAATAGATTTCGTTTTTTTGATGATGTTATTGAAAATGTTCCAAACCTTATGTTTTGTCTTGGGCTGAGCGAGAATAGAGGAAAGCGTAGCAGCAGCGACGGAAATCACCTCCATAGAATCATGATCCGGCGGGGAATCATGGTAATTGGAACCCGAATTGGCCGCTATAATGGTACTGTGAAGAATGCTAGTAGGAATCAGCGATCCAGACGTAGAAGGCGTGTCCAAATCAAAGTTCGTTAGTAAAAACTCGCGAACACTTTCCCTTTTGCAAGGTTCCCGTTCGGGCACGAGAAAATCCGAAACAGCATCTTGACAAAGCGAATAGTCACCGTAAAACTGGTTAATAAACTCGTCAGAGTCAAACTGTACGCCCACATCGCTCACCGACTTCAAATCACTAATTTCCTCATTATCACACAACAATTTTTCCAACATATACAACTCTCTTTTGTTCAACGTCCACAAGAGTTCGCGAATTTTGTGCAGCAATGTCCTGAACGGTCTGAACATCTCGCTCATTTCCTCATAAGGTTTGTCGATGTACAAAGGGCCATTAGGGAAAACTAAAAGTCCGCTGACGATGGCAAGCCTGGGGATGGTGAACATAAGCGCCGGATCGCAATCATCCACCATTTCCTGCGTGAGCAGCTTCATTTTTAAGGCTCTGCGCAGGGTTTCCGAGAACAGAACGCCGATGAGCTCCTGGAGCTCGTATTCTTGGGTGGTTTTTACAGGCACCATAGCGCTCACGTAGGCCAGTTCGAATTCGGCGAAGAGCCTGTCGAATATTTTGAGGCTTTCCAGCAGCATTTCGGTGACCAGTTCGTTGGAGTCGAGCTTGATGGGGCCGTTTGGGGTGTTTTTTCGGAGACAGGCGTCTCTGAGGAGGTTCCTCACGTTTTCCAGGCTCTTGGTGACGGCTTTGGCTAAAGGGCGCATGGCTGTGCTTTCTGCTTCTCTGTTCATTATAGACGAACCGGCAGCAAGGCACTGAAAACATTCATTCAGTGAGGCATTATCAGGCAATGTATCTGCAATATAATTCTTTTGTTCTGAACTAATTGTAATATTTCACTTGAACTGACCTGAATCAGTTAACATGCATTCTACCGAATTTAAATCTTCCGAAAGAACGCATGTTAATAACTGATTCAGTTCAGTTTTAGTGAAATACTCGATAAATGAGAGCTAACATGATTAGATAGTCAGACTGATTGCCTTCACTTTTAGTTTACTTTTTATTGATCTACTCAAACGAGCTCACAAAAGCCATTTTCTCCAGTATCCTAAAAATATTAAATATATAGGTAGGTTAGGGGCAAATGCATGAGGATTTTTTTATCGATTTCATCAATTTCCTAAAACCAACCAATCACTAGGCATTTGTAATGATAAAAAGCTACATAGCTTTCCCAATAACCGATGAATATCAATCAACACACTTCTCTACTTTGACACAACTGTCACAGTCACTACCGTCAGATAATTTCCGACACAACGTTGTTTATTTTTCGATCCAAACTGCCTTAATAATGTAGTTGTGTATTAATCTCTTCTCTTCTCTCTCTGCTTCTCTGTTCATTATAGATGAACCAGCAGCAAGGCACTGAAAACAATCATTGAGTGAGAGATTTTCAGGAAATATATCTGGAGGTGTTCCCCGAAGCATATAAATGCTCCAGAAATTTGAGAAGAACACCAATTCCTACCTTATTTCCCTTGGTTCTCACGAAGTTCTCGGAACATTACAGGATATCCCTGTTCGTGGGAACCAGAACATGAAAAAAAAACATATGATCAATGAAAGCCAATATGATGAGATTGTTGGACTGATTGACTTCAGTATTAGTAGCGTTTTCCACTTGCCGATTTAAAGAGCGCACTAGCACAGAGCAAGTACTAGTGGCACTCACTGGCTCGGTTCTTCCATGGAGTGAGGTTCCACCACACAGAAGTGGAATAGAAATAGAGAGTTGGTGCGACCTTCTTGTCATCAGAAATGTCAGACTAATTGTTTTGTCAATCAAAAAGTTGAATAATTGAAAGTACATTTAGTTCCGTTGGTCCACATGAAATGGTTTAATCTACCTCTTATTGTGGTTTTCCTGTGAACACTGCCAGAAACCAGCCAGTCTTATATATGTATGTTAATTGTCAATGATGTCAATGTTCAATTGAATCATTCGACAATAGTGACGTAGCATTGAAGTGTCCTTCACGAAGTAAGTATTTTAAATCATTACTGAATCAACAATCAAATATGTTTAATGCCTGCACATCTGAATAGCTTTCTTTAACTTTTAGGTAATTTTGAATCTTCCGTAAACGCTGTTTCGTAACGAAGTACTTCTGTATCCCAATCATCATATCTTCATCATAGCTTGCATCCGAAGTATCTATGATTTTGGAAATTATTGTTATAATAGTAGTAAACTTCAATGAGACATTCATAATTATTCAAATTTCAAACATTTTCCACTCGTGACTCGAATTTGAGGTTATGTGTATCGCACCGTCGTACAAGCACAGTTCTGAAAACTCGAACTCTGAGATGCCATCGAGCAAGTTTGCTAGCCAGTGGAAATCATTTTTCGGCAAAAGTTCGCTCTTGAAATTTGGACCACGAAAAACGCACTCAGTGCCGAAAAAGTTCGTTTAATGCGACGAGTAGAAAACCCTATTAGTTTTGCTTTTATTGATCTACTCAAACGAGCTCAAAAGCCATTGGACAAGTTCAAATTGCGTTCAGTATCTCAAAAACACTGAATAGAAACAATATAACGAAAGAATGACTATAGCAATACATAATATTGAATTGATTAATAGATATAGGTACCTCAAGAATGTAATACTCAAAAATAAAATCTTCAATTTTATAGTGATGGTTCCAAGAAGATTCTCAGTGGTTCACATTTCAAACTTTCAGGAATAACATCCTGTGCCCTTAGTCCCAGAGATTCGAGGGAATAGAGAAACAGAGATTACCATGGAATTTCAAACTTATTGAATGAGTTTCATCATTTATTTATTTATTTATTTATTTATTTCATTGTCATCAAGATACAAACAGACAAGTAGTCCACTAAAGTATCTACGAGAAGATTACAATGGTTATGTAACATATATATACTATAGACACATTTTTGTTTTGAGCCTTTGTTAATACAAATTTATGAAAATAATATCATGTGAACATGAAATTCGAAACATTAAAATTATTATACATCTAGTTATTATACCTTATACCTAATAGAATACAATTTTTTGGAACAATAATTTGAAACGTGCTCACTTCGAAGAAGGATGAAGTGTAGTCTTCATTGTAAGAAAAAATGTTTTAGAGTATGTTAAATTTTTTGTTGGGATGAAAAAAAAATATCAATTTGATCATTGTAAATATTTGAGTTTCGGGCAATTCTACATAATGGAGAATTCTGCGACGAGTTTGTTCGCCTAAAAGGTATGTGGAATAAATTGTTCGTTCTTAGATGCCGACTGGGAACATTCATTAGAATTTGATTCAATAGATTGGGGTTGTCTATGATGCTGTTGGTGATTTTATGTAAGAATAATATATCCATGATCTCTCTTCTGTTTGACAGGGATATCAGTTTGAAATGTTTTCTGGCGTTATTTATATCGCCGTTGTAATTGTAATTATCTTTGAAGCTAATATATCTAATGAACTTGTTCTGAATGTTTTCCAGGCGGTTTATGTATGTTTTATATTGTGGGCACCAAACTACACAGGCAAAATTTATTTTACTAAATACAAATGCGTAATATACACATATTAAGGCTTTGGTGTTTGAAAAGTATTTACAAGTTCTTAATACATAACCCAACATACGTGAGGCTGAATTTGCAATTGATTCCACATGTAAATCAAAAATCAGTTTGGAGTCATATATAATGCCGAGGTCCCTAATGTTGTTAACTCTCACTATTTGATCATTCCCTATGTAATAATTGCTGTGAATCGAATAGAAATTTCTTGTGAAGCTAATGCAGTTACACTTCTGAAAATTCAAGAATAAACTAGATGAGTTGCAATATTCTGTCAATCTATTTAGGTCTTCCTGAATCTTGCAGCAATCTGATAATGTATTTATGGTGAGATAAAATTTCAGATCATCTGCGTATAAGGAAAATTTACAATATTTGAAACACGATTTTATAGAATTGACATAAATAATAAAAAATAACGGACCGAGGTGTGATCCTTGAGGAACACCTGATGTAATATTATATTATTATTATCATCATGATTCAATTGGAGGTGAATACTTTGTGTGTTAAGAAAACAAGTGTAGTAGTTACTTATTCAGATTACTCATAAGTAGATCACTATACAAAGAACAACTAGAAATTGTGCACTGTCGCTTTTGTCCACCACAATACCTAAGATTCTGATATTTGGGTCTATTTTGGGCAGTATGAAAAATAACTTAGAAGCTTCCAATTCGAATTGATTCATCTTGTACTTTGGTTGGTTCTTGTAACATCAGCATACAGCAAATAAATGATTCAGTTAATACAGATGACAGATCATTGATATATAGAACAGAATGAGCCCCAAACCAGATCCCAGAGACTCCAATCTCAATTTTCTTTTTGTGATTTTCTTGTTTCATTAATAACTTCAGCACTGAATAATTTTATCGTTTTTGGCTCGTCATTCACATGCTTTTGTCATAGATTATCAAAAACATTTCAAATGTGACTAGTTTTAATCTATGCTTATGTAAACATTTTAACTTGGGCTCACCTTTATTTTCATAACGATTTGTAATGCATTCCTTGAACTTCTTTAACTCAATATTTATATGGGCACCTACATATCTGTCCCCATGAATCATATTCCATTTCATAACATTATATCTCTGATATTTAACAGTTTGATTTGTGGAAATTTAAAACTATCGAATATAATGATTTTAAATATCGCCAGGAGAATATATTTTCGTTTCTAAACATTCATTATAATTCCAAATACATTGATGACACTCATTAGACAAGAGTATCTATTCACAAAATCGTTAATAATTAGTTATGATAACATTTAAGAAGTGAAATTAAAATTCATATAATGGTCTTTTCGCGTCGTTGATGAAGTCATAATGAAACCCAAATGCATTCAGAACCAGCTTGATATTAGAATACGAAACTTTTATTTGTTCAAGGCTGATCAAGTAAAAATCAGATGTGAGATATTCGGTATTGAAAATAGAAATTATCAGAGCACAATGAAACAGTTCAAACGATAAAACTTGGGCGAGTTAAAATGCATCAGAAAGTAGACCTAAATGCATCTGTTCAACGAGGAAAATCAGAGACAAAACCACTCTCTTTCCTTACTCATCACTCATGAAATTAAAAAAAACACGTACATAGGTAGAAGAAAAGAACTGACTACATCCGATATAGCGGCTAATCTTACCAAGGTCCAAGAATCCAAGATTCTAAAAAATCGAGATCGAGTACCTTGAAGGATATTTTCCTATTTGACTTATGTGAGTACAGACATTTGACAAACAGTGAAAAAAGACATGAATATTCTTATCACTTGTGAAGACTTTTTTCTCTAAGTGTTCAAACTGTAGCCGAGCGAATTCTGGTGTCCGCACGCACATATCTTTTCGGCTTATACCCTGGATTCATTAGAACAATTACATTTCTTTGTTTTTTTTTTGTTTTTTAATACACGTTATGAGATACTTTCGTGAAATGTGAATTATCAGCTATACAATTCCATTCTGACGTTATTCTGGGACACCCTGTATATCACAACTTCGAAGTAGGGTACCAACTCTCCATAAGACGAAACTTGTGCGGGTTTAGGATGAGCGGGACCTACAGCTTATAGTGGAATTCGAACCTCTTCTAGGGTGCCGAGGTGCTGCCAGGATTACAACCAAGAACCATATCTTTTTCAGAAAAATGCACATCCAAGCCGGATTCGAACAGACAGCACCTTTGCATCGTTAATG